GAACAGATGAAAAACTTCTAGGGGATAAAAATATGCCTATATCTACCGTTTAAATACTAAAATACGTTTAACAATGCTATGTTTAAGTGGTTTTGAACTATATTCTCGTTGGGTGCCCCTGAAAATTTCTAGATGCCCTTTCCATTCATGTACAATATAATTTTCGAGGCCTGTCTAATAAATTTCCTACGATTGACTGAACTTTATTTTTTCACGTCTCACTACCCATGCTGGGCTATTTTTTGTAGAAAAAAAAAAACTTAAAATTTTCGGATTCAAAAATGTAACGGAGAGAGGAAATAGAAAAATTCTCACTTTCGTAAAACGTGAAATTGCATCTAAAATTTTCGGGAAAATAATGCTGAACCCACTGAAAGACTCAAGTTCCCCTAGGATGACAAAACAGATATAAATTTTATGGCGCCGCTTAGAATGCATCTCTAGATACCTTACTTGTATTAATAATCGCATTGTACTCTAGAATTCGCGCAGTGCTGGGTGAGCCAATTTTAGTACTGCGCGAATTAAAATCCGCACGAAAAGCTTTGCCGATTCTTACTAATGCAAATCAGTTGATTTATTAACGCATATACACATTTGAAACACATTTGACATATGTTTTAAGTTGAATTTTGCTCACATTACATGATTTACATAATTTTGAGGGCATTTTCTTAAGGCCACTTAATCGATCTTTGATTAAGTTTTGACAAATGTTGTCTTATTTGTTGATAAAAAACACTCATTATAAATGCTCTATTAAACAAACCAAAAAGAACGAACACGGAAAATTAATTGCGCGAATTTAAAGCTGAGCGAAAATGAGTACGACGCGAATTTTCATACAAGTAAGGTACCTAAAAGTACTGTGGACAGCCTAAAAAGTATTTTCAATGTATTTAGGGGGAAACCGTCGTTGAGTGCCCCTGATATAGTGGTGTGCGTATTGTTTGGTGTTCTTTTGTATTACTTCATCTGGTGATCACACCCGTTAAGAACCTCAGGAAACTTCCCTTTTTAGATTTACAAACTGCAGATCCTTACAAAATTTACAGCAGACTTGGGTTTCTTGTCGGTCTTCCTTAATGACAGATTACTCGCTCGTTTCAGCTGGATTTTATCTTTGCAAGTAAAATTTTTCGCTAATTCTTTCATTCCCTGGCGATATCTCTCACTTAAAACAATGTAAACCCACGGGTTTAGCGATGCGTTTGAATAAAAAACAAACTTTGTAACAGGAAAAAGATGTTCCATGTCACAAGGAAGGAGTGAGTCCCATATGAAATGAAAGACAAGTCCCGAGACGATAACTGGAGTTATGCAGAAAATGAAAAGAAGAACTAAAATCAGAATCCTTTTCATGATGGCTGTGTCTTCTTTGCGCCGTCGGCTTCTCAACTCGAATGCGTTGTTTTTAGATATCTTTCTTTTCCTTAGTTCTATCAAGATGAGTGTGTACAATGTGAGAATCACACAGAGAGGTAAAAAAATTATCACGACCGAAAGAAAAGTAAAATATATCACTTGTGTCTTTTCCTCAAACTTGGGTGCCCAGCTTATCGTGCAGTACCACTTGCTTTCGCTCATCGTCAGTTGCGAGGTATAGAAATACATCCCGTGTAAACCCATGGCCACCACCCAAATTATGGGAATTATTACCTTGCAATTCTTGGTTGTAATAACAGGAGAGCGGAAAGGAAAAACTATCCCTCGATACCTGTCGATGGCTATAACCACAAGGCTGTGCATGGATACTGCGGTGGAAAGGTCTTGAAGGAAGAAAACCAGCTTACAAAGAATCTGTCCCATTATTCCTTTTAAGAGCCATCTTCCACGGCCGATGAAGACTTCCGCTACTTCTCGAGGCAATGCAAACGCAGTGATCATTAAATCTGATGCAGCCATATTAGCAATCAGAAAATTCGTTGTTGTCCACATTCGATTGTTCTTTGATACAATCGCGATAACAGCTAAGTTCCCAAACAGCGACAAGAACATAATCAGAGAATATGCGAATGTTTTAATACATTGGGCTAGCGTCGAACTCTCCGCAGAGTTTACGCAAGTCTTGTTTGGGGTCGAAGACAGGTTCAAGACTGTTTGGTACTCGCTGCCGTTTAGAGGGAACATGACAAGAAGGTCTGGTCTTGCCCGACAACTTCTGCAAACAAGATGACACAATAAGAACAGCTTTTCTTGGAAATAATAGTCTGCAATTTATGCTAAATACCACCCGCCACGTATCGCCAATTAGTAACTAAAGCTATCACTGAGGTAGCTAGAGGGCTAATTGTAACCCAGTCTTTTCGAGACAGTGACCCCGCTGCGCGGGTAAAGTTGTTATGTAGTAGGCAGTGTTTTGGATGTGATCGCTATTTATAAAAGGATTGTTTGTTTTGTAATAAATTTTATTTTTATTTTTCTTCTTATCATATGCTCATTAGCGGATAATGCGTAATCAAATTGTGACAAGTGAAGTTAGGAAATTATTTTGATTTCGAGTACACTTTGGGATAAATCAGCACAACTAAATTATTCAAAGACAAACCAAATTTGTGGTCTTTGAAAAATTTGCGGGTGCTGATTTATCCAGAATTTAATACACGAGAAAAATCATATGATTACTTGTTAATAATTTACATGCAAAAATTTGAGTGGCTTTTCCTCTTAAACTTGCATGTCACCTGTTTTTCTCTTTAAAGTCCGTCGAGCGCGGTTGATAAAGTATAAACCGCAGGGGATTTATGGACCGCCAGCGCAAGAAGGTAGTGTTTCTCGCGCGCTCGCCGATGTTTTCGAAAAGAAAGAAAAGAAAAATAAAACAACGTCTGTGTACAGGCTAATGCTGATGCAGAGCCGGCAGATGCTACCATCCCTGTCTCTCGTCAATCTGAATGTCAGTTGTCTAAAGGGAGAAGAACTCCCTTAATTTTTTATTATTAGCCAAGCGGCAAGACGACTAACATCTCATACTAATTTCTCACCTCCACTGACAGATGCATTGAAATTTGGAAATTCTATATTGGTAAACTACCACCTACTCTTAGGAGAACTCAGTCGTCATTTCTACTATGATCTGAATTGAATTCTGTCTTGATCTGATACTCATGGAGCTTCGTAGCCTGCACTTGTTGCTTAGTGAGCGGTTAAACGTCTCGGCAGTAGCTAGTGAAAGGTCTCGGAGATTATTATTCTGTGTCTTTGTAGCAGCTAGTTATAAAACCTCACTAATCAATTATTCATTTTTGACTTTGTAAGATAAAAATAACCTACAGCTGGGAGTAAGTGAGATCTGTCCGCAGGGTATATATTTTTTGTATTAGAGAGATTAAGATTCACGTTTACCGCAAACTGCGGCAAACGTCAGACTCATGTTGAGAATTTCTCAGAATAGAAAATAAGCAGATAGAAACAGTCGAGAAGGATTCCTACGGTTAAAATTGGTATAAAACTACTTATTTTTGTGTAGAAGCAATAAAAAGTAAACAGAAAATAAGGGGAAAACTTGGTCAAGTGGTAAAAATTCACGTCTGCCGTTTAATCTCTCTAATGTTGATAGTTAACCGCAATGTCCATGCTCCTAAGTTTTACATGCATATAGAGTGAGAAAAAATTTTAAAGTAAAGAAATTTATTGTTTCACTGTTTTAGTGGTTTTGGCTTGACGTCTGTATTGTAGTGAACACAAATATAATTTGAAACTTCTGTTTATAAAAACGGTTTATTTTAGATTCATCTTCCGT